ATGAAGAGAGGAAAACAGAATCGGTAACCGGTACCAGTGCATGGTAAATCAAGGTTCTGTCGAGAACCTTGATTTGGTTCATACATGCGCATATCTTTCTTAAACTCAATCATGTGATTAGATATTCTATAAAGAGAAAGAAGAAAATATTCTATAAATGAAGTATAGGGGGGACAGGGACACAGACACTTGGTGGTGGAATTTAGCAGAACATAAAATATTAGGAGTTTCTTCGTTGATGTCATAGTATCACACAGTTGTATATAGTAGCACCAGTTGTGTATGAAACTCACTAATTCAAATGTACATGTGAAAATCCTTTCAACAAAAATTTTAATCCATGGATCATTTTTATTAGTTTTTTTTATGGTAATAATTAAGTATGATTAACCACTCAATTATGGCAGGGGGAAAAATAAATGATTTCATGACATTGGATAGTTAACATATTTAAATCCATTACTTTGAAATACTCTTTCCACTAAATGATCATTTTTCTCCTGATATTTTCATGTCTCTTTTATAGCATTGAAGAAATAAACATCATATGCTTTATTTACAAAAAAAAAAATAAAATATATGCTTTAATACCTTTCAAAATTTCTAAGTCTCAACTGAGAAGTTCTTTTTATTTGCTAAGTCTCAACTCATTAGTTAAAACTTTTAAGGTTTTACACAAAGAACAACTAAATCAGTTTTTGAGGTTACATCGTAATGCTTGGGAATGTGGCAAAATAAGTTTTTAGTCAAAAGGCAAAGGGATTATATATCAATGTGAAGCTGAATGCAGCAAAAGAATTAGATAGTAAGAATGAACTATTTAGTTTTGTAAGGTTATAATTAAGATGATAGTTCATATTTGAAGAACCATTGAATTTTATCTTTATAAGTGTCGTATCTGTTTAAATAAAATATATTTTTATTTATCTCTGTCACATTTAAGGTTGTATTTGAATAATAATTCTATGCATTGACGAACTTTTTTATGTAACAATTCTTAACATATAAATTTGCAAGGTAAAATAACCAAATAAGTGGTACATAATTAAAAAGAGAAGTTTTTTTTTTTTCAAGATTACACGTGCGTTGCACGTGGACTTTCCTAGTATCATAACAATTAACTATATGTTAATGCTGCTATTATCTAGATGAAAATTTTGTTTAGATAGAGAATTATTTGAAATAATGACTGAAACGCTTTTTGTGATGTGATGTATACGAGCATTTTGCACCCATAAGCTCCTTCTCGGAAGCAATAGCAACTATTTCAAGCTCAGAGTCACCAACCACATTGACCTACAAGGCTTCAGAAAAATCCTCTCAATTGTCTTCCAATCGTGACAGCTTACCTCTTGTAACAGCTTTAGTTAACAAAATTTTTTCTGCAGTCCTGATGTCAATTACTAAATAACGCAAAACAAAACAGATAACACCAATCAACAAACACAATAGGTAAGCAATCAAAAGAACAATTGACAGAAAATCTGACCATGGTGGATTTGATTGAACCCAAGGAAACTCAAATCTGAAATGGAAATGAATTACCATATGACACAAAAAAGGTGAGACCCCTGCTCCTGCTTACCCCAAACTTCATCAAAGCTAAATAAAGTGCAAACTCTGCGCAAAGGCCCCAGAAAGTTAGAGGCCGGCCTGTTCAATATACAGTGCACATAGCAGCATGAATACTTTTTTCCTTCTTCTTCTTCTTGAATATGGAACTGTGAGCTAAAGCAAACCCTTGAAGCTTCTAAAAGGTGTGCAAATGACGAAATAGGTGTGCTTATGTATGTTGCACGTACAGGAATCTGAGCAACAGCTGAAACAAGTGAAACATTACTATGCTTTAACCAATTGAAGGTCCATTATTTGAGACCCATCACAGATCTGCTCTTCAAGGACACTGCAAACAGAGAGCTAGCCAAATATTCCGCATCTGTTTGAGAAGGGAAGTGGGGCACTGTCAGATCAATATTTGCATCAGGTAGATATGTTATCAAATGATAACCTGCGAACAGGTGCACAATGTAAATGACCTCCTCATCCATCAAAACACATTTTTTTTAGATAGTGGAACAGCACCGTGCTTGCACGGTGGAAAAATATATCTAAGTTCTTTCAGTAGAATACTTTCAAAGCGGATAAAGCAGCACAACTCAAGTTAAGACAACAATGTCATGCAAAATTTCTTTTGACTGGCATAAATAAGTTTGAAACAAAATGCTAATAGATTGTACATAATGGCAGTATAATAGAGATATTAGTCATTGCATATATATAATCCTTTCACAAGCCATTTGCACTGCTAAACTTAGAATAAAGAAGAGAAAATGGAGAATTGTGGAGTATCTATTAGAAGATTTCAGAGGTATAATAGTTACGTTTAGTTGAAAGATAGCTAAGTCTCATAGTGAAAAGAAAAATGTTAGAGCAAATACCTCAATCATATATCAGCAGCAAATCAGCAATAAGCCTAAAGAATGGAAGAAGAGAAGAGGGAAAAAAATCAGAGAAAAATGAAGGTCATCTCCAATAATAATGTCTCTTATTAGTTTTTCCAGATACAGCTGACAATTGCCAACCTTTTGTCATTAGAAAGTACAGTTGGTTGTACGACAGATAATGTATTCTTGGGCGGATTTGGGGCAGGGAGTATGACCGTCCCTGCACAGTTAAGGGTCAAGATTGGCCCTCAAAATTTTGTGCGACTGAGATTACACCATGTAACTCGATTTCCGCGCCAAGTGTGGGGCCTACCACTATCTGTTGTGAAAATACATCATGTGAAAAAAAAGTTACACGATGTACAAAGAAAGTTACGCGCAGTTGATAATGACTAAAATTGGCAGGGACGGTTGCACCTGCAACCGTCCGTGCCCCGAGTCCATTCTTGGGCTGCCTTTCCAGCAGTTAACCAGCATGATTCAACCCCACTGTGAAGAAGTTTATTAATCGACATGGAGGCAAAAGAGGATGGAGAACCTGACTGAACTGAAATATTATCCATGACTGGAACACTGCAGAGGCATGGTCAGATGAAAAGCCCCACGTAAAAACTATATATCTATGGTGGCTAATTACAATAATATGAACCAGGATGCATGCGTTATGTACAAATGCAGTAAATCGTGGAAACAAACTTGACTAACGGCAAACCCGATCTTAAATCATCCAACATGATGCATAAATAGCATCTAGCTCGTAATGGCTAAAGCAATTGGCCTGGAGAAATGTAGACAACCTGCTGCCATGGCGTCCAAGATATTTCATCCTCTGAGTCTACACTCTGCAGAGAGAAGTAGTAGTATTTAGAGAAGATCAACCGTCAACCGGACAGCAGCCAAATTCCAAGTGAAGCTGGCCGATAATGGACAACCAGAAATTTGAAGAACAACTAGTTTACACTCCAAACACAGAGAGATGGGGGCCTAGAAAACTCAATACAAGAACAAAGGAAAGGTTTTTCGTAACCTAAGATTAAAGCATATTAACCTGCTAGTATTGCGTGCGTTAAATGCAAATAAATCCTTCACTAGTCATAAGAAAAGCAAATGTGCACCATTGTTAATTTGCTTTTACAGAAATTGTATCAGATTAGAATGATGTGATTAGCATCAGTTCCATAAACTATCTAAAGCATTCCAATCTTCATAACATAAAATAGCAATGACAGAAGTATTATTTTCAGTCCTTCAGAACAGACCAAGATTTTCGTCATACTTTGCCTTAATGCAATTCAAAAATTATAAAATGGCCTCTCAACTAAGCACTATCTTTATAGAACATAAAGAGTCATTAAAAATCTCTTTTCTGCCACTATAGTGCACATCTTAGACCTATCAGAAACCCCCTCTTAAGGTACACGACTTAAATTTAAAACAGTGGAAACATGTATTTTTTAGATAATGTAAATCATACAATTGAAAGTTCATTAGAAGTAAAATGTATTTCGTCCAACTGAATGGGCTTTCTCCAATATGACTTAAAAAAGAGTGGATACTTTCTCACAACTAATAACTATGCTAATCAACTATTTCTAGAATAGTTGGCCACCTGGGAGAGGTTTAAAACACTTTTTGAGTGTAGATCAAGGGATCAAATCTCTTAACCTGCACACCAGAGTAGCAGTTCAGTTTTCTCAAACTCTGACCTATTTCGGCATGCCATCAACTAGTTTAAAATTGAATCAATTCTGTACCGTCAGGATGTACAAAGATATTTTGCACATGTGAGAGACAAATTTTCTTCATTTTTAAAATGAGAAATTAACAAGAGATAAATACATATAATATGTGAGGGATTGTTTATGTGGTTTCCCTTTCCTCAATCCATAGTGCCATTTTTTTTTTCCAGTTCAATGATTCAATCTTTTATTATAGTGCTCATTCATTTTATCTTTTTGAATTTTGTTTGAAGGACATACCCGGTAGTATGATAATTGGTTACAGTATGAGTTTTTGACTTTTCCTTCCTTCTCCTTTTCATCCCACCTTAGCTTTTATACTTGGTTTGGCCTAGATTTGACAGGAAAAGAAGCGAAGGTGAGGGAAAGTAGCTATTTTCTGATGTTTGTGAGTTTTGGAGCGACAGAGAAGCTAAGAAATGAAAAGAAATTAGATGGATCAAATTAGCAGCTACATTTAAAAAATTTTTCCTGCCCAAATATGAGTGGTGAGGGATGGAAAGTTAAGAGACACTCTACAACAATTTTTAAAATGTCACTTCTATCAATAAATACCTATTAAACATAAAATTTCATTGACATACATATATCCTATTTTATTTTTTTCCTGAACTTTCGAACAATATTAAAATCAAACCTCGTCCTTTCTCCTATCTTCTTTTTCTTTTCTCTTCTTTACTTTTCTTTCGTAGGTTTTCTCCTTTTCTTTTTTAACCTAAACTCCCAAACTAGCTAAGCTAGTATTAGAGAGAGAGGGAGAGATAGAATCCTGCCATTTTCTTTGCTTTCTTTTCATTTCTCACGCTTTTAAGAGCATCCAAACCAACTCACTGTAGCGGAGAGGGGTCGCGTCCTCACTCCTCACCTGCTACTAGCGAGAGCCTTTCCATTTCTCACTTCCGCGGTTCCACTTTTTTCACTTCAATGATTCAATCTTCGACTCCCAAGAAACCGCTACCCCTTCCTTTTCTGCTCTTCATTTTCTCGCTATAAAAATGCTTCAGTGTCAACCAGCCCCAGAAAAAAGCGGGAAAAGTGGCAACAAAGGGAGACGAGATCTGGTCGTTTCCAAAAGTCCCCCACCAAAGGGAAAAAAGGGCCAGCAAGACTTATCATTGTCCAAGAAAAAGAAATGGACAGCGAGAAGATAGAAAACCTTCACCATTTTCAGGTAAAGTGTTCCGCTCTCTCCCCTACGACAGAAAAAGTAGAAACCTTTTTAGTAGTTTTAAATCATTACCCCCCGCTTTCTTTCTCTTTCATTAGAATGGATATAAATATGAGTAGTAACGTGCACAGAAAGTGATTGTATCATTACATTGTGGAATTTAGTAGTAGTATGTGCTGGTCAAAATTTTATGGTAGGATGAATTAGATCTGGGTTTTGCTTGTATCTTATAGATATAGAGTTATAAAACCCACTACTCACATTCGTATATACAAGGATATATGCAGAAGCAAGAAGAAGATAAGCAACTTGATCTGGAATCTGAGGAGCCCGAGGCCCCTTTGCCCCTCACTGTCACTTCTCGGGTCAGTTGTTGAATTATTTTCGCTAATATTTATTGATTATTGCGAGAAATTCGAGTTGTTTGGTGAGTTTCTAGTGAGGCTGGTGCTAGATTTGCAGGTCTTGTATATGCTGGGGGACATCACAGCGGGGCCAGCATACCGGTTTGCGCAATGGCTTGAGCTTGTTCGCAAGCGGAGCGGGAAGTACCGGTCCTCAGGGTTCCCACACAGACAGCACAGAGCAGCTATTATGCCCTTGAGGTTGATATTTGATATCCACTGCTCTTCAATGAACTTTGGAATCCTGTCTTGATTTCTTAGATTGTATTGTTTGGCCTTATGCAACAAGTTGGTGCTAATATGTATGAGTGATGATTACTGAATTTGTTCTAGAATGCATCAGTGCGCCAGTTTCTCCTGTATTCTGCTTTTAATGTGTTTAATGTTGAGTGTCCGGTATTAGAAATTTGTAGCCGATGTCTTATATGTTATATCTAATCTTGATTCAGCTCGGAAGAGTCAAAGTCTGGTGTTAGAAGTTCTCCTCCTGAGCAAGCTACCGAAGTAAGTTTGTGGGAAAGACTTGGCAAGGCTGCCATGTTGGATATTGAATCAAGCTCTTTTTCGTGGAACATGCTTTCTTCACTTCATCACACTGAACATAGTAGTGGTACTGCTGAACAATCGGAGGATGAAATGAATAAAGCAGTAGAGGTGAGCAAAAGTTAAGCATTAGTTCAAATACAGTACTTCTTTTTTCAAAGTTTTAGCAGGAATTTGACTCCAGTTGGAATAACTTCCAAATCAGGAGTTGTATTGTTTTGGTTGTGATTCCTTTTCTGGATCAAAATATCATCTACCGTCTTTTATTTCTCATTGAAGCAATGCACAGAGGTGGTGTTGTCTAAGTACTTGAACTTGTATGAATAGTAACATAAACAGTTGCCTGAGATAAGGGTTTGTTTGGATAGAGTATTATTTGAAATATTATTTGAAATAATTACTGTAACATTTTTTGTAATGTGATGTATGTGAGATAAAAAGGTGGGTTGGAAAATGTGTTTATGATGCAAGCAAAATATTATTTGGAATAAGTTTACTATCCAAACAAACTGATTGGAGATATTCAGACTTAATGTTCCTATGTCTTGTCTAAAGCTTCCAAATCGAACACACCCTCCACTCCCTTCCCCAGACTATAGGCTCATACACAAGGCAGTTGATATTTTTTAGTGGCGAATAAGGGGGACTGGAGGGCACAATGTTTGTTTATTGTACTTCCCTAGTAGAAGAAAAAGAAGCTGCAAAGGTATGTAATGATCACCCTTCTAATTTCTTGTAGTCTCTGATTGTGTATGTAGTGGTCATGAATTGTACAAGTACTTTCTCTGCCCAAGTCTCTCTCCTCAATTACGCTTCTAATTTCCCAGTAGTTGGTCAAATTTCCCTTTCTTTTCTCTTACTGAAAACTACATCTGCACAAGAAAATTGTGCTGGAAAACCTTCTGCAAAATTTTGGTTCTCTTACTTAATGCTAACTAAACGTTGGTAATGTGTAGAGGGCACTGGACATGTACCTGGTGCATTCCTGGCAGTGCCTCTTTACCATTTTCCTTTCATCTATATTCTTCTATCTTAGAGGTGTTTCTAGTGATGATATGTAAATTTTAGATTTTCACCAAACTATTTAGACATGCATTCATGAAAACATAGGTGTTCTTGATAATCCTTTCTTTCTTGTGTTGTTTGTTTCTTTTCTAAATCTTCTCTCCTCCTGCTCTACTTCAGTGTGGCAAATGGAAGTCTATGCTATTACCTTTTTCATATTTTTGTCTCATCGGTTTTCATGTTGTAGGTCACTGTAAATTCTGGGGGAGTAGTCTTTTTTGCACTGTTCAACCAACCTGAAAATGATGAATCTTCTTTCAAAGAGGCTGCAGCTGTTATAAAGATAGCATCTTCTAGGATGGCCACTCAATCGGAACGCCTTGGCTATGAATTTGCAAAGTGGCTAGGTGTTCGAATTCCACAAGTTGTACCTTCTTACTAGAGTAATTATTTTGTAACTAGTTTCTTTGTCAGAAGTTTGATGTTTTTGCAAAATTAAAAATCGCAGGCCAGAGTTATTCACCATTGTAGTTCTGAGTGGCTACAGATCAAGGAAGCTGCAGAAAAAGCAAAAGATGCTGCAATTTCCGAAGGAGATGAAGCTGGTGAAATTATGTGTTCAGAGCTACTAGAAGCTCTTGAACTCAGTCGATGCCTTTTGCTAATGAAGTATGTAGAAGGACCTGACTTGTTATATTACATTAATACTCACAAAATGACAACATTTTGTTTCATAAATTATAACCCATTTCTACACATTGAAATTGCTAACTTGGAAGATTTTCATCCTTTCATGTCTGATAGTTGCACAATCATTTCTTTTTTATTATAGTCTTAGTGGCCTGTCTGTGCTTGCTAAGATGGACATGAAAGATTTAGTTTCAGAATACTGCTATTGTGGACCACTTAATAGGGAAAGTGAAAGTGGAGTCAAGGAGAGTTCATGCTTTCTTTGGATTGTAGATATGTGTAAGTAGTGTTCTCATAGATATGGGCTACCAAATCAAGAAAGTATGGCATAGAAGAAAGTAATTGTATTTTTGCAGCCTAAGTTATGAATCTTTTGGCACATTGCTCAATCAAAATATTTCATCCCCTGAAGTTAAATGAGGTATTCAATTTCAGCCCAAGTGTTGACGCATTTGTTGGATTTGCACGGGAAAGGATAACTTGGCTCTTAGGCTCCCATGGAGACATATCCAATCTTTAATTGTAAATGGAAAATCAAAAAATTTACAGGTTCAGTGTAGCATAGGAGTAATACTGCAGTGTTTTACAGTGAAGCTTGTACAGGAAAAAGAACAAAAGGTTAAAATGGAGAATAGATAGCAGTGTCAAAAGATGGAAATGCATTCTTGATCCTCTCTCTGCCTGGTGCATCTGTATCCTCTAATTATTACTTTAATAGGAAATTAGGATTTCTTTTTGATATATGAATTACCATGTGTGAGCGCCTGATCTGGAGAATGTTTTAGTTGGAGGACCATATAGGTAGCATTTAGAGAAGTATATATCTGTTAATGAAATGGCCAAATGCTTGCCTACCTAGTTAACCTATATGATGATCAAATATATCAGAATTCACAAGTTTTGGTAAATCATTTTCATTTTAAATCCATGAACATGAAATCTGATTTCCACATTCACTTGTTTTTTATCCCCTCATTAATGTTTTAAATATCTGCAGTTACATACATGGTTCTCCTCTGTTAGAAAGCTCTAATGCTTTTGAGTCACGAGAGGCTGCAGAAAAAATAGCAGCAGCCCTTGGCAGGGTTTTGATGTTGGACCTTGTCATAAGAAATGAAGACCGACTTCCTTGTCGTAGTCTTCGGTGGCGTGGAAATTCTGCAAACTTATTGTTGGCTGATAAAATAGCTACTGCAAACATGGATGCGCTGGAGGTCGCATTTGATTCTGCAATTAATAGATATCGTCCAAAAGTCATCCGAGCACTTCAGAAAGAAAGAAGGGCAACTTCAGTGGATAGTAGGTTGACTCCTCCTAGTTCAGTACTGGTGTCGCAGAGTTCTGATATTTCTGATATCACTGAATCTCCAATATCTAGCAATGTCAGTATCAAAATTCAAACATCAACTGAAATAACTGGTCCCCATTTTCATATTGTGGCCATAGACTCTGGGGTTCCTCGTAGGCCCCCTGCTGGAAAACGTGCAAATGATCAAGAAAATTATCCTAAGTTGGTTGAGCTCCTCATCAACAGTCCTGAATATGCCTCAAATCTCTTATATGAATTAAGTGCTGGGAGGATTGGTTGTCCGCAGGAAGATTCTGATGCAATGACTGGTTCAAGTTTGACTGACACGACTTCAGTTATTCATGCATTCAGGAGTGGGTTCCGTGCAGCTTTGAGAGACTTGCAAGGATTTCATATTTTCCTACTCACCCTTCACCAAAAACTAGATACTCTGTTGCGAACATTCATTAATATCACAAATAAAGCTTCTGGGGATTTGGACCAAGAAGATTTTATGGTTCCTCAATCACCATCACAGGCTGGTGGAGTTGGCTTTCATTTGCGTTCTCCATCAAGCAAGGAACGAAGTGTAAGTGAGAGCAATTCTGATCTAAATGAGTATGAATCACACAGCACAGCTTCTAAATCTTCAGGATGTAGAGATAGCCCAGATTCTGCCTCTCCACACTCACGTGATGGTTGGCATGGAAAGTCCAGCAAAGGGGGTGGGGAACCCATACACAGCCTGCGTTTGACGTCAAAGCTCCGTGACTTTCACAAATTTGCTAAGGTCTGATATCTACCGAATAAAATTGAAGTTTTCATTAAAGAGTCTAACAGTTTGTTAACAGAATACATGATGAATTCTACCATAGTGAGTGCAGATGGCCATATTTAGTGCTTCTCTGCTGTGCCATGATGTTTTGTCAGATTATCTTAGTGTAGTATTGTGCTTGTTCATATTTTTTCACAGAAACACTTCGATTATTCTTGAAAATCCTCGTATTGCAATGGAATATCGGATTAAGTTACTGAAATTTATTCGTTAAGGTACTTGTTCTTGTACTTAATTACACATCTAGGCACAAATTTTTTATTTTTTTCTTATTAAAGTCAATCTCATTCTTTTAGGGCTGCATCAGTTTTGTCATTCATTTTTGCTAAACTTTTGCTCAACAGATATGCTTCTATCTTGCCCATGTTATTATTGACTATTGTTTGTTTGCCTCTGTTCATCTATGATTGAACATGACCTGATGATGGAACCTAATGAGTATGTTGTATCTGAACTCCTTATCCATTGTTTTAACAAATGAGAATGTAAGTGTGGATATTCCTGTGGGGATTCTATTTTAGGGTGTGATACCTGATATCTGATAAATTTTTGTGCTTTTGTATGAATCAGAAAATCCTTAAGGCTGGGAACACTATTATTTTTACATAACAGATTCTTTGCTTTTCCTGTTTCAGGTCGATGTGGAATTAAACAAGGAATTAGAACAGTGGAATGAAATGCTAAGAAATGACACCATAAAATTGTGCCAGGAGAACAATTTTAATACAGGATTCTTTGAGGGTAGTGATACTAACTGTGTTGTTGATGCGTATGAGCTGAAGGTAATTTTGTATTATTTTAGGATCCTCATTTTTATTGCTATCATGGTAGCCATAAGACTTTAGTTTGTTTCCTGTGATGCTTATGTGTCTCATTAGGACCTTATGCATTAATGGTTGATATGACTTTCATACTCTTACAAAATTACAGGTCAGGCTTGAACACATTCTTGAGAGGATATCATTGATATCAGATGCTGCAAACACAGAAAAACCATCTCCAATTTCAGGCAGCCTGTACATAGGTGGGGCCCTTGCTGCAAGATCGTTGTACACTCTGCAGCATTTAGGAATTACACACATCTTGTGCTTGTGTGCTAATGAAATTGGACAGTCAGATTCTCAGTTCCCTGAGTTATTTGAGTACAAGAATTTTTCTGTAAGTGTGGTTGAATCTTATTTTATTGCAAGGATGAATGGCATCATTCTCTGCCTTCCACTCACTTCTTGTAGTAAGGATACCCGCAGCTTAAATTCAGTCACCTTCATTTGCTTAATACACCTATCTTTTCTCACTTCTTGGGTCCTGAGTTTCTGATATCAGACATTTGGCCACCATGAATTAGATATAAAAACAGTCCAATACTTTTGGTTGACTAGAAATTTCTTTGGGTTGCCATTATATTATATATATAGGAAATTATCTTATTGTTTTTACAAAATATAGTTTCTCCTGTATTTCTATTTAAAAGTTATTCTGTTGCCAATCTTTTATGTTTATTTGTGAGATTGTGCAATTATTGATGTTTGCTAGTCTATCTGGAAATTTTTTTCAAACTGTTTGTTTATGTATAAATTTATTAATATTTTGTAAACTGTTTGCTTAATGATACTTTTAGACATTCCAAGTGTTATTTTGTTCTTGTTTTGGTTTTTTAGAGCAAGCCTTTCTGTTTTTACTTGTGAGCTGTTGAAGAAGCTAGGGAGCAAAATGCTTCATAATGTTGATTGGCTATCCACTGGCAGGTCTGCGACAATGAAGATACACTGATCAGTGATATCTTCAAAGAAGCACATGATTTTATTGATCATGTTGAACAAACGGGTGGAAAGGTTTTGGTTCATTGCTTTGAAGGCAAAAGCAGGAGTGCTACTCTAGTTCTTGCTTACCTTATGCTCAGGAAGTAAGTTCTTAGGCCATCATTTAAAAATTGTCACACCTGAATGGTACACTAGATAATTTTTGACAAAACGTACCTTGATGAAATCTTTAATCTAAATCTAACCTAATGTCAGCTAGTCTCCTTTTGAAGGTGGTTATATGTCTTTTTCAGTAAAATGGTAAGCATGCCCTTGTCGAAACTGAGATATGCACCAGCAAGCTGCTCATTTCTGAGCAATATACCCCTTTTTCTTATTTAGTGCAACCAAGAGATTTGTTTCTTTCCCTTGCTTTATAGGAAGTGAACAGTCAGATTACTGGGTTGCAGTAACTATCTTTGAAAACAATTGAGCAAATATTACTGGTCAGTATTTTACAATTAATGTTTGACTTGGGAGGTTGAATAGTATTGATTTGAAAAGGAATTTTCATTTGCATTTGGTTGCAGAAACTACACTTTACTGGAAGCTTGGAATGCCTTGAAACGAGTGCACCGTCGAGCCCAACCTAATGATGGATTTGCAAAGGTTCTTCTGGACCTAGATTTGAAACTGCATGGTAAAGTTTCAATGGAATGGCAACAACGAAAACCAACAATGAAGGTTTGCCCCATATGCGGCAAGAACGCTGGCTTGAGCAGTAGCTCACTGAAGCTTCATTTGCAGAAGTCACACAAGAAACTTTCATCTGGGAGTGTAGACAGTGCCATGACAATGGAAATACTGAAAGCACTGGATGCACTGAAGATTAGTCGAGGTGGAAGCGTCAGCCCCACAGAAAGGCAATCGCGGTCTATGATAGATGAGTTGGAGCACTGACATTGTATGATTGGGCTTGAGGGATTATTGACTATAGAGGTAGGGTGGATTGCAAGTATTAGATCAGCTTAGATGACGTTTTCAAAGGAGGAAGGGAAAGGTCTTTTTTTTTTTGGGTTTAGGTGGACGGAAACGGAAACATATGCTTCTGTATGTAGATCATTTTTAGTGTATGTTTCACGGGCAAAACTGCCTAATCGCCAGTAATGGTGTTCTGAAGTACTCCAATCGAAGAAGTTACCCTGTAAAATTCAGTAAGAAGTGATATTAGTCCTCAGGCTTCGTCTATGTTACTGAGTTTCTTGGTCAAATGATCAACAAATTTTTTCAACAGAGCATGAATAGCTTTTAAGTAATTGGTAGACCATAGGGTGCTCTTCCAGCATTCTTCATTTTGCCTTCTTACAGAACACGAGTTTAATAGTAATTTCGCTTCGAGAAAGGCGATGAGAAACGTACAACTCCTTTTTTCAAATTTAAATCCGGTGCTTTTTATTAGCAGCCATGCTCTACCCGCTTAACAATTGAACTGTAATTTTATGGTCCCTCCGAGATTACAACTACAACACTTCGGGTTACTAGATGAGTTCCCACTTGACGTACCAGGCAGGAGAACAAGAGCAACACAGCATATTGTTGAGTTAATTTGGAAAAAAAATATTCGAAACAGGTGCCAGGAATTACTGCCATTTGCTGTCTCAATAAAACACGGCTGTTGCACTTGGAAGATAAATTAACAAGCATGCGGACATTATAAAACTGCAACCTGAATGGACTCCAGAGTTCGAAAAGCACAGAAAATAGGCATCATAGGAAGAGAAGTCCGGAAAGGAATAAAAACAAGGCCAAAAACAAGAAAATGCTAATATCGTATGATCCACACGTTTCAAGATCCTAAAAACAAGAGGAAAGCCATTCAAAGGCGAGTATCTACCTTACTTTCATTACTAGTATCAGAAGATTCAACTCCCCTAGCACTGTATTTCTCATATTACTTGGAACAGTCGGAACACATTTTCTTTGAATCTTTGCTGGCCAAGAAAATGCAACATTGTGACCCAACCCTAGATGATATTTAACCATTAGTCGACGAACCAGCAAGAGTACTACCGCCAATCACTTTCCTAAACCGGGATATATTTGAACCCAATTCAATTTCAAAGCAGCGGTACAAACAACAATATTCATAGAAGTCAACCAGCAAGCTTCCATCTACACAGCAATTGGCTCTGGCAATGACTCTGGTGGAGCACCACTGGTGCCATTGAGAACGGTAACATTGCCATCTGAATCCACATCGACAATAACTGAATCTCCTTCTTTAATCTCACGCGCAAGCATCTTCTCAGCTAGGCTATCCTCCAAGAGTCTCATGATTGCCCTTCTTAGTGGCCTTGCTCCATAGCTTGGGTTGTAACCTTCCTCGACAACTCTATCTCTAAACCTCTCTGTAACCTGAAGCTCTATTTCCTTTTTCTTCAACCTGTCAAAGACCTCCTTTAACATAATGTCGGCTATGTCCTTCACTTCCAGCTTAGTAAGCTGCCGGAAAACTATCATCTCATCCAATCTATTCAGAAATTCTGGCCTGAAATATTGTTTTAATTCCTCCGTTACCAAGCTTTTAATTCTGTTGTAACTACTATCTTTCTCATCATAATCTAAATCAAAACCTATACGTCGGCCACCCTTCTCAATCACACTACTTCCAACATTGGATGTCATAATCAGAAGGGTGTTCTTAAAGTCAACAGTTCTGCCTTTACTGTCTGTCAACCTTCCATCTTCAAGAATTTGAAGCATCATGTTGAAAACATCAGGATGAGCCTTCTCAATTTCATCAAACAACACAACAGTATATGGGCGACGCCGCACAGCCTCAGTCAGCTGACCACCTTCAGTGTAACCAACATATCCAGGAGGTGAACCAATAAGCTTGGAAACTGTGTGTCTCTCCATGAACTCACTCATATCAAGCCTGATCATAGCGTCCTCAGAACCAAAGTAGTAAGCAGCCAGGGCTTTTGCTAGTTCTGACTTCCCCACCCCAGTAGGACCAGAAAAGATGAAACTAGCAATTGGTCGGTTGGGATTCTTGAGTCCAACACGAGCACGACGAATGGCACGGCTAATGGCTTTAACAGCTTCGTCTTGACCAATGACCCGTGTGTGTAGTGTCTCTTCCATCTTGAGGAGGCGATCTGACTCATCAGTTGACACCTTCTCGACAGGTATTCCAGTCCATGAAGAGACAATGTGCTGAATGTCCACTTCTGTCACAAGAGGACCACCATCCCCTGCCTCAGTCTCTGCCTTGCTCATCTCCTTACTTTTGTCTACGAGAGCCGAAATCTGAGCCTTAAGATCCATTTCTCTGTCACGTAACTCACCAGCCTGCACCAGGATTTAAATACCATAAGCTTAAGCTACATTGAAAAGATGCCCTAAAGGAAAAAAAATCTGTCAAACAATTCCTTAAGACTTATTTTGAACTCATTATTTTTTTCTTGATAATCTCCACATGACAGATAAATATTAACAGCATGGCTTCAAGAACTAGAGAGCACAACCCAGTATACAACAATCAACTCTTCAAGAACAGATAAATTTTAACACCATGGCTTCAAGGACTTGTTATTTTTTCTTGATAACCTCCACATACAGATAAATTTTAACAGCATCGCTTCTAGAACTAGAGAGCACAAGCCAGTATACAACAGCCACCTCTTCAAGAATAGATATATACCTTCTCAAAGTCCTGACCGCGGACAGCCTCATTCTTCTCCTTCGTAATCTGTCTAAGTTCTTTCTCAAGCTCTCTAGCTTCCTCAGGAAGCTGCAAGAAAAAAAAAGTGTTAACTCAATAGTAACAAAAAGTTGAACGAAACTGAACTCCACTAGTAAGAAGTCCAGACCTGAGCATGACGAAGTCGAACACGAGAACCCGCCTCATCGACCAAGTCAATCGCTTTATCAGGCAAAAAGCGGTCACTAAATCACATAATAAAGGGTTATTCAGACACAAACCTTAATGTCAAAAGGGACATACAAGTGTACATCTTGAAGTTCATTGAAGCAAAATCCATATACCACAGCTACTAAAATATAAAAACTAGAACTCTAAAGAAGGATAGAAAGGTATTTGGCCATTATGTATACTACAACAGCAACCCAGCAGGTTTTTTTTCCCACACGAGGGTGTTCAACAAGGAATAGTGATTTATATATACAAACAACAACTTGGGTCCCTAAAAAACAAAAAACTACTTGGGACCCTAAATTTGAAAGATGTTAATTGTGTGTGTTAAGGTAGAAATAACACCAGATTTTCTGAGAAAATGGGCATAATTTTCCAAACAACACCCAACCTCCTACTTTATAACAACTGATAAGCAAACACCACCCCCCCCCCCTTTTAAAAAGCCCAAAAAGAAAAACGGGAAGGGGATTTGGGGGAAGAGTTGAAGAAAACCAGAAAAATAAGAAAAAGTAGAACACAAACCTTATATATTGGTATGAAAGCTGGGCTGCCGAAACTAAGGCCTCATCAGTGTAACGAAGCTTGTGATGGATCTCATATCGCTCCCTAAGCCCCTTCAAAATCTGAATAGTTTCATCCACTGTGGGTTCAGGTACCTTGACTGGTTGGAAACGCCTCTCCAATGCAGGATCTTTCTCAATGTGTTTTCTGTATTCATCAAGTGTTGTAGCTCCAATACACTGCATTCACCAACGCTCATGTTATATGTTACTCTCATCAACGAAAATCCAAGAATGATGAACATTGTAAAACAACAGAAACAGAAAAGGGTGATTATGAAAAATACAAAATTACTATAAGAAAAAGCAATATCCAGTTTTCCAATTTAAAGACAAAACTCTCTCAAACTTCCATATGGTCTAAGATCTCAATTTCCTCTTTGAGCAAAGAACCAACCCTTCCATAAACCATTAAAGGGGGAAAATGAAGAGGCACTTTCCAAAACCATGCTTGTAACCACTCTCTTGGAGTAAACTCTTGACCTTTTAATAAATTATAAACATCCAATATGGCCCCTATATATCATGCACAATACAGATTCACTCTCGCAGGCAATAACCAAAACAATAACTTTCAGCTCTTAACTAGGCATTAAACAGACCTGTAGTTCACCACGAGCTAGAGCAGGTTTTAAAATGTTTGCAGCATCAATTGCCCCCTCTGCTGCTCCAGCTCCAATGAGTGTGTGCACTTCATCAATGAAAAGTATGATTTCATCACTTTGTTTAATCTCCTCCATCAATTTCTTCAGCCTTTCCTCAAACTCTCCTCGATATTTTGTTCCAGCCACTAGGAGTCCCATGTCCAAAGTGATAACCTGAATAATACCAATAAGTGAGTTAAATTGTGCATTACGCAATGCATACAGGAGAACACCTGCGAATTATGTCAGTTTAATTTAAAAAAAAAGGACAGATAAATGTAATTTCCAGAGACATAGAAACAACGGCAGCCTACATTCAAAAGTTCAAAATAACAAAATTGGGCCTCAACAGTTCAAGGCAATAAGAAAAGCGGGAATACTAAGAAAGTTCTATCTCTACAGAATCATATGAAAAGCTACAAGTATGGTTCTTGTTAGTACAAAGACAAAATTACATGATTTCTGTGGAAAATTTACCTTCTTCCCTTCTATTGTCTCAGGTACATCACCATTTGCAATCCGTTGAGCAAGGCCCTCTGCAATAGCTGTTTTCCCCACACCAGGCTCTCCAATAAGGCAGGGGTTATTCTTTGTCCTTCGACCCAAAATTTGAGTAACACGTTCAATTTGCTCCTGCCTTCCAACAACAGGATCCAGTTTGCCCTAAAACATACATCTACAGTTAAATATCATATAATAAAAGCAATCAATCATGTAGAACATCTAGAGACTAAAAATACCTCCTCAGCCATCTTTGTCAAATTTGTCCCATACTCCTCAAGAGTAGGCATTTTGTTGCTGGAACTCCCACCTCCAAGACCAGCAGCAACAGCTTCTGCACTCTCACCCACCATTCTAATGACCTACTTAATTCCCAATAGCGAGCAAAATCACAGCTCAGAATCACAACAATAAAATTCATAAAACTTTTGGCAGATAAATCAGAAAAATATTCTAGCTTTTACCTGTGTGCGAATGTTACTTGGGTCAGCACCCAAGTTCTCGAGAACACGTGCTGCTACACCTTCACCCTCACGCAGCAAACCCAGCAATAGGTGCTCAGACCCAATATAGTTATGGCCTAAAACCAAGGGAAGATTGATCAACATAGGATTAAATGTTGCTTAATAAATCATAAGGACATTAA